AGTACCATAAAAACATCTGAGATTGTATCCAATTCCAGATTCTGTGCTAAGGGACAGAAGATACAACTTTTTAAGGCCCGTTTGCATCACGTAGGCTGGCTACCTTGCAGGTGCTGCATTTGCCGCTCTCTCGCAAAAATTTTCACTGTTTCAATGGATATACAAACCTCAGCTTTAAAAGCTAAAAATTCCAGAAAAAAGCAGTGCAATATTTTTCTTCTCTATCCTTGTCCATCATTTTTTACACCAAACTTTTGAAAATCTTTACTTTTTCATAATGGAAAAGTCTTGTACTTTTTTGTCGACCAGCAATATCATTAACGAACATAAACTGGTAAGCACAGATTGGTCGATCTGTTCTAAATCACAGCAATTTCCACTGACAAGTTGATACAGCTAAGAAACCAAATGAAACAAGCAATTAAAACGACAATTTTTTATGTTCTCCACTTTGGAAACCATAATATAAGCAGTGGTTTATCTAAAGCAAGAAATGAAAAAAAAGTCAACCTAGGCTTAGAACAAACTAATTTTCAGAAAAAATTCAGAAAATGAGCCACGACAGAACAGAAGTTAGCAAAATAAATACTACTTATTGGGAACACGCTGTTACACGCTTGTTAGCAGAAAGAGTTTTAAAACAGCGGGTAAAAATTCGCAAAAAAAATGTTGAGTTCTTGTCTAATATTTTAAACGAAGACGTGTTGTGGCTAACCGTAATCCAGTTCACAATTTCTGGAATTTGTAACCGCAATCAAGGTTTCTGCTAAGGCTTTCTAACTTCATTTTCAATCAGTTTTCCTTTCTCACCCTAATCAATTTTTCCGCGACTGTCTCCTGGAAAGAGTAGGGCAAGAGTGATAGAAGGAATGACAGTGGAATAAGAAAGTGGTCAAAAATACCTGTCCTTGAAGATTTCTTTTGTAAGCACCAACCTTTGTTTTATCAACTTAAGACTGAAAATAAACGGTTAAAACTTGTCTGTAAGTCAAAAAAGTTTTCATAGGTTAAACTTTGATAATGGCACAGACTTCTGTAACTGGAATTAGAAAAAATAATTAATTAAAATTTAACCTACAGTGAGTAAAAATTTTTTTACAGATGAAAAGCATATTTTTTGAAAAAACTAACAAAATGAGAAAATGTACTTAAGAATCTTTAAAGCAATTGATCCCTTTAATGTTATTCTAAACTTCATAGCTGTGAAATTAAAATGTGTGATCAAAGAGCTAACTTTACTTTATATTACCATTACCTAACAAAGTTTAAACAGAGAGTTAACAATCTGTAGACTAAACCAACTTTTTTAAAACTTTTTTGGCTTAATGCTTCCCTCACAGACCGCGTTCCCTCCTCTTCACAATGTCTTCAGCACCTTTTTCCATAACTGCTTTTAAATCTGTTAAGTTAGGAACAAACTAAAGCCATTCACATGACAGTTTGTTATTACTAAAATTCTTACTAAAAAAGGTAAGATTCTTTGAATTCTGTTAGCCACATGTATTTAAACAGCAGTCATAAAATCCACTGAAGGTTTTGGAACAAATCTGGAACCTCAAATTGTTCGATTATCGTTTAAAGCTGCTCAGCACCACTATTGCTTCCATCGTTTCCTTGGCACCGTCCATTGCTCCGAGCGATTGGGGAAGGGGAAGTGGAGACTAAGGCGGGTAATATCGTTTACGTTAGCAATTACTGGGCTAGACGCTACTTATTGACAAAATCTGTTAAAAGACAACTGTTAAAGAAAAAAATTGTTTCAATTTATAGTAACCTTTGGTATTTTCATAAATTTATAGTGAAAGAAATCTCAAAAATTGAAACAATTTAGATTCCACAGATACAATTCTTATATTGCAATCCAGCAATGTCTTTCATGTCGACTGCCCTTTCAGAAAACGCAATTAATTCATCGAAATCAGAAAAAATTAGGTGCAAAGAAAAAAGAAAAAGCTCAAAAAAACAATAACAAATAACTATGAAAAATAAGATTCACTCAAGACTAAGAAGATTAAGTGAAAAGTAAGGTTAGAAGCTGAAGATATGAACAAAAACGATGATTTAAGATTATAATAACAGAGACCGTATGACAGTGAAAAGTTAGAAACTCGTGAGACCTATAAACTGCAGTCTTCGACTTTTAAAGAAAACAAACTTCATTTTGTCAAAAGCAATTTATTTTATAATTTAATGATTCACAGGTTGCAAATAACATTTTCAGCAAAAGCTGCACGAAAAAATTATATCAAAAGTTAAAATTCTCTTATAGGTCGCTATTTATTAGCCTTTTTAATTCTTTACTTGTTGAACTTCAACAGTGTAATGTATTGTTTGTGAGAAGTACAGTTTTTTTTGTCACAAAGACTTGTCACTGTTTACTAACCTGTGTTCAGCACCAATGCAGATTTAGAAATTGCAAATGTGTCAGGGGCTGAACGATGCAAAAAGGATGTTGAGCAGTGGTATGCTCCGTTGGGTGAATTGTGTGATCTTTTGAAAAATTAATGCAATTGAATATCATACATGCTCAACAGCTCCATGTGCACTTTTTCAATCTACTTCCTTAACCTTCATCGCTAAGCCATATCTGGACGAATATAAAAACCAAAACATTTTGGTTCACTCCAATTCTTATCCGCATCTCAGATTCGTTTTTCTTCCTTGCATTTATTTATTTATTTTTTGTCTCTTCTTTGTTAAGGTTAGTTCACTCTATTTGATTTCTACGCATAGTCATTTAATTAACTT